GCCCCACGTCACGGAAGAAGCGCAGAAGACTTCCCCCCCCCCCCAACCCCCTTTTGCAGGGGTCCCACAGTCCTGCACAGTGTTAAGGGGCCCCACACAGGCTGATTTGCCCCGGTTGCACCCCCCACCTAGGGTCAGCTCTGTTTGCAGGCTATTTTACTTCATAGCTCCTTTACGCTTGCCCTGTCCATTTGATGGCTTCACCACAATGGGTTGATGCGGCCAAGTGGAAAAAGTGTCACAACCCCGGAGTCCTGGCACGTGTCCTCTTGCTGCACCTTAAAGTGACCTCCCTAAGCTATAGCTGCCAACCTCAAAGACCAAAAAGACAACTCGGATTCCCCTTAGAAAAAGCCCAGCTCTTAGTGACCCAACAAGATTGGTCTCTCCTTACACGGAGAGTGCTGACAACCGATGAAGTGCCTTAGACCTGGAGTCTCGGATCACCAGAAACTTACTGTGCCTGAAGACGGGTGACTGCGCCTGAAAGCTTGCTAAGGACTTTTTTCCAACTACTCAGTCTGATAAAAGAGATCGCATCTACCAAAAGACCCTTGCCTGCCTATGTCCTTAGACCAACGTGGCTACAACCAAAAACCTTAGACCAGGGAAGATAGAGTTTCTGTGCCAGGGAGCGTGCTAACGTATTCAGTGCATGGAAACTGCCTGTTGTGGAGGCTGCATTCAGAGAGCGGCTGTGTGCTGGCAAAAGCCTGCAGAAGCCAGTTGGACTCTGCAAAGCTGCAGGCGTTCGCCCTTGTGGAGCTGCCTCCAGGACTGGGACATAGCTCGCTTGGCAGCTCTTCCTTATTAAGACCTGCCTACTATGCATGCGGTGACTGAGAGCTTCCTCGAGTCATTATGTTCGTAGGACCAATGGACATTTCAGCTGCAGTCCTGAGTGCTCAGACCTCAAGCAAATTGGAGAACATGGAGGTGGCCTAACTGGCACCATGAGATGATTGCATTAAACTATAATCATATTTGGATTTTAGCTACTGTGTTGGAAAGGAGTTGGTGTTTTACTGCATTATAATTTAAAACAAATCAGCCTTGAAATCCTGGTTGACTGTGACTTGTGTTTCATTTGCAGAGATGGAATCCCTCCTTATAGACTTGGGAGCAAGAAGCAGCTCCAGAGGGAGATGCATCGGAGCGTTAAGGCTAATGGTCAAGTTTCTCTACCTCATTTTCCAGTAAGTACAAGTGTTCGCTGGAGAGCTCAGGTCTGGCTGCCACAGAAAAGGCCTTCTAGTGAGCACAGGCCCTGAAGCACCAGGGTCAGAGGCTGAGAGCTTAATTTCACCAGCATGTTGCATTCTCTGTTTCCAAATACTATCCCTGCAAGCTCCATTGGGTCAGAGCCTCTGCTGGAGTTTCAACAAGCCAGGAGACGAGCTGGTCTGACTGTCACTGGCTTGAGTTCACAGATTTCATAGACGTTAGGGCTGGAAGGGACCTGGTAAAATCATCGGGTCCAGCCCCTTGCCCCAGGGGCAGGAAGCCAGGAGTTTTTTGGGTCCCGCTGTCACGCCTACGTCAGATCATTCCTAGAGCTCTTGTGAAGTGTTCTAGGTGGAGTTGGTTTGGTGTTGGTCTGTGGTTGGGCCCTGTGTATGGCTTTTGCCTCTCGCTGGAGCAAGTGGGCTGGACTCACCTGCTAGGCCAAATGGAGCTTGCAGAAGGGCAGCCATGAGTGCGGGGTCCTCCTTGTCCCTGGGCGACTTGCCCCCATTGCTCTTGCACTTGCCTCTGCCGCTGTCGCACTTTTGCTCTGCTGAGGCTCCCGCTCTGCCTTCCCCGCACTGCTTCGACTTCAAAAATGCATGGTTTGGAGGCAGGCAGGAAGCAGGATTGACCAGCCTGCCCAATGAGAAATGTCTGCAATGCTGCACATGCCTTTTAAAAACTTTCTGTCTTGCTTTTGAGGGAATCCTGTTCATCGAGGTGTATTGCTCTTGGAAATTATTAACTCATTGACTTGCTAATTCAGTGCAGGCTTCAGGAAAGTGCTGCCGGTTCCTGCAGCAAATAAATTGTTTACACAGACAGACACAAACTTATCTTGTCTTGTGATGAATATCCCCAGATTCTTCTTTCTTCTGACTTAAACAGCCAGAAATCTGAGATGATATTTCTGGTGGGGTGGGAGGGTGCCTGTGTGATATGTTTTTCTTTCTTTCCTTTTTCTTTTCTTTTCTCTTCTTTCTTTCCGTATTTTTTTTTCCTCTCCTCCATAAAGAAAGTTCTGTAGCCTGAGCTTGTAAATTAGATTATTTTGTCCCAGGGCGTGCAAATCGACTTTCTCTGTAAGGCAGTGCTTTGATCAGGGACTGAATAGAGCCAGCTTGTGTAAGAGTGACAATTTCCAGCAGAGTGGCCTTTTTCTAGCCTCACATCATTTCTGGAGCTAAGTGGTTGCCAGAGAGAGGCCCCACCTCATCTGGTGGGTAGTATGTGAAAGAGTTGGCAGTTCAGCTTTCAGCTTTAAAAAAAAAAAAGGGGGGGTGGGGAGAAAGTTGGGGTGAGGGAGAAGTGGGGTGATTGTGGGGGAGAGGACGGGGAGAAGGGGAGGATTCTGGTGGGTAGGGTTTTTTTCCCCCCCTTCCATGTTTGCTGCTTTTGGCAGAAATTCTCGTTTGCCTTTTTATATTCTGCACTTGATTTGGAGATGTTCCCTTTTTCCCTTGATAGATCTGCTTGAGGCAGCCAAGCTCAGCAGTGTACCACTACTAGCCTGCAGCAGCTTTCTTCATTTTCTGTACAAAGAGATGGGGGGGAAAAAAAGAGAGAGATCTAGGACACTGTTGAGACAACACTACCTCAAAGGTGCCCAGTGTGTAGCCAGGAAATAAATTACCAGCACTTCTCTGATCTGCAACCGTTTGACTTCTTCTTCTTCTTTTTTTTTTTTTTTTCCCTTTTTCTCCCCCATCTTATTTTTTTTAATTTCCAACTCCTTTCTGTTTATGCTCACTTTATTCCTTGAGTTAAAGTCTCTCCCTCCCACCTCAGAGTTTTTTTTTTTTTTTTTTATTTGATGTTTGACAACAGTCTTTGAAGATTTTCTACTTCAGAGTAGCTACTGATGGGCTGGTTGTACTACAGAGAGAACAAGCGGGGTTCCTCGGAGTGCGACCAACTGCTCCTGCCGAAGGCAAACGCTAGTGGGAAGGATGTCACTCCATGAGGCCACAGCACTAGCTCATAAAAATCCAGAGCAGACCATGCCTAGTTGCGGTCGTCTTTTCATCCAAACATGGAGACACAACAAGCATAGCGGGGCCAGAAATGCTGCTCCGGCTAAGCTTCTGCAGCTTGCACTGCCTGCTAAATATGGCTTATCCCTTTTGTCCCCGCTCTGTGTAGAGAACCCACCGTCTTCCTAAGGAAATGACCCCTGTGGAACCAGCTACCTTCGCTGCTGAACTCATCTCCCGGTTGGAAAAGCTAAAGCAAGAGCAAGAAACCATGGATAGTCTGGAGGAGAGGCTACAGCAAATCAAAGAGGTAGGAGGATTAACCCCCTGGCTGCTGGGGCAGTGCTTGCAGCATGCTGTTCAGCGTCTGTCTGGGAGGTGGAAGGGGGGCTACAGAAGTGGCAGGGTTTGTCTGCATGTCACGTAGGGGGGAGAGCGCTCCTGTTTTTCTCTCCGAGCTGCGTGTCCCGGGTTCGAGGTTCTGTCCCATAGCAATGCAGGCTGCTCCCTGCCAGCTCGGTGGAAGGAGCCCCAGCTTGAGTGCAGGTGTCCCCCTGTGCTTTTCTTTATTTCTTATTAATGTTACCCCTGCAAGGATGAAGAGAAGGAGGGAACAGAGCTCCCTGTCAACACACAGACCAATCGGGAGGCAGCAAGCACCCAGCATCAGCAACACCCGCTCGCTCTCCTACCATCCGGCAGCTACGAGGAAGACCCGCAGGCGATCCTAGATGACCATCTGTCGCGAGTGCTGAAGACCCCTGGCTGCCAGTCGCCTGGCATGGGGCGGCACACCCCTCGCTCCCGCTCCCCAGACCGCCTCCCAGGCAGCAAGCAACAGCAGGGCGCGGCCTTGCCAGCTGCTTGCACCCTCATCAGCAAAGGATTTATCACCAAGCAGACAACGAAGCACGTCCACCACCACTACATCCACCACCACACCATCCCCAAGACGAAAGAGCAGATTGAAGCCGAGGCGGCGCAGCGCGTCCAGTGCTTCTGCGCTGGGGGCAGTGACTACTACTGCTACTCCAAATGCAAGAGCCACTTGAAAGGCACGGACCTACCTCTGGCTCAGCTGGATCAGTTTGGGTAAGTTGCAAGCATTTCTCAATAGGATGTGAGCTGGAAGTTTTAATGATTTCTTGGGGAAAGGAAGGTGGAATTGATTAGAAAACCAGATGGAGTCACTTCGTGAAAGCAGGGCGGCTGGGTGGTGGGTTGGATGTGTGCGCTGGGGGAGGTTCCTGACAAAAGTGCGGCAGTCGCACGAATGCAGGATATTCACCGTGTTTGTGGGGGGACGGGGAATCCTGTTCCCTTCTCTCTCCTCCTCAGCAGGACAGGCACGCTGACGAAGAGGAATGGCAAGATAATGGACGGTGTAGCCGTGCCAGCTGGGGAAGGAGGGCTCCCCGTAACGCCGGGGCTCCAGTTACCTGGAGGCGACGCAGACCGGTCGCAGAATGTCTGGCAATGGATGTTGGAGAGCGAGAGACAAAATAAGCACAAGCCCCATAGGTAAATATACAGCTGTCTACAGCAATATTGCTCCCAGTAAATATTTATATATTACATGGGCTGTCTATTTTTACAATCACTAAAAACAAATGAGACTCTTTGCTCCTCTGGTTTAATATAAAAGCCGTACCGCAGAACCAGAAAAACCACAAAAATGTCATGTTTTTGGCAATAAACCTCCTTTCATGTTATGACAGACTTTGGAGAGGGAAGCGAGCAGAATGGGAGCTGCTATTTAAGTCACATTTTCCAGCTTTTATAACCCGGCTCCTTCCCTTTTTCTCTCTTCTCCCCCCACCACCCCGCGCCCCTTCCCCAGCACACAAAGCACAAAGAAGGCCTACAATTCGGAGTTCGTCAGGGGGGCTCCCGGCGAGCGCCCAGGCCGCCACCACCTGTGGGGCAACAACAGCCACCCGCGTGGGGTGCAGCCCGCCCACCCGTTTGTCCAGGATCCTGCCATGCCCCCGCTGACCCCACCCAACACCCTTGCACAGCTGGAGGAAGCGTGTCGCAGGCTCGCGGAGGTGTCCAAGCCCCAGAAACAACGGTGGGTAGCTACAGAGGGGGATGACATGGGGTAGCCAGAGTTCAAGCCCACGGGCCTCGTTCAATGAGCTCTTTGCAATAGGCAGGTGCCCCCTGCCGGGGACGGGCTCGAGTCATCAATATGGCTTTCTGCAAGCAAGTAATGTGGGAAGCTGCCTTGCAGGCTCCTGGCTTTCCCTTCCCAGCTGTCAGATGTGCTGTTAGCTCTCCCCCAGCCCGCTGGCTGTCAGGCAGGCGGCCGAAGCAAGGTAACAGGAGACGGTCACATAGCGTGCGCAGAGCCTCACTTTCCAGCATAAGGTTTGCAGTGGGGTGAGGAAGGGGAGGCACCCCAGACTTTGAGACCCACAGGTGAGCCAGGGGCCTAACGCGTTTGGCTTATGGGATGTGATTTGCCTATTTAGCTAACGTACCAAGTGGTGAATTGGGCTGGTTATCATTCACTGGGGTAGGGAGGATAAATTAGCCCAGAGCATTTTAATTCTTCCTTTGATTGTTTACAGCGTGTGAGGATTGATGCAAAGAGAGAACTTAACGGCCCACAGGAGACTTCAATTAAGAAAATATATTTTCACTTAATAGGTTTTTTATTCTTTCCCCTTCCTC